CTTTAAAAATTTATATAATAAATAAAATTAGCTATTCCAATATGAGCTATAGTTCCTTGGCATAACATTTGATTTATCTTAATATTCTAATGAAAAAGAATTTTAAAATATCATCATTACCTCAGAAAATAACAATGTATTAAAATTGCTATTTTATTTCCCGGTAGAAAAATTCTAAATCATCATTTTACTAGAATATAAGACTTTGTGATATTATGATATCCTGACACATGTGTTCTACCCTGTGGAATTAGCAGTAGTGCTATAAGTAAGATCTTTCAACAGAGATAGCTACGAAATTTACATAAACTTATAAAACTGAAAACATTGAACAAATATACATTTTTGAGAGCCATATATATATATATGGCTCAGATACCATGTTTTGTCTGAACAGAAAGTTTATTAAAAAGACTGAAATACCCATCTAGCTTTTTCTTTGAATTATTTAATTGCAGTTTCACTCGTATTAACCTAAGTACAATAAATACTAGATTATACCTTAAAAACTTGGTTGCAATCACATTATATTGAGAACAACTATTAATCACAGCTAAGGCTAATAAAATTATGGTTAGTGCGGTTCTCAGCATCACTTGAACTTTCAAGATAATTTATTATTAATTTTATTTCCTGAGTCCAATAATTGCACCCCTCAGCATTTTCAAAGCAATTTAAATAAAAGTGAAATTTAGTTATCGGAGGTATAATGGTTAGAGGCATTATTAATATACACACATATACATACACAGTACACATCTACATATTGTGCATGCATTATATTTAACATTTGTTGGTTTTGTTTCCTAAAGAACTGTAAGATAATTGTCTCCTTATGTCACCATTCCTATATTTAATCTGAACTATATTTTAAACAGATCATTGAAACATCTTTCTAAGTGTTATCCCTGCCTTCAGACTTAACCTTCTTCAATATATTTCTATATCAATCTTTATACAACAGATATTTCCTTCTTAAATATTTTCAAAATCTGTTGTATTGTATCCGGTAGGATAAAATCCAAACATGCACTCATGATTAGCATTTGTGGCCCTTCACTGTATGACTCCTCTCACCCTCCACGGCCTCCCATGAACCCCAAGTTCCAGGTGTGGCGAACTGTGTGTACCTGTTAGAGCACACCATGTCCTTTCACGTTTTGTTGTCTTCAGTATAATGTTTTTTAACTCTGGAATTTTAGTCCATGCTTTCTCTTCTTTCTAAGATTGAGCTCAATCATCACCTAAACTCCAAAGTCTTCCCTGTTTCATCACCCCAACTCCCAACACTAATCTAAAAGTGTGGTCCCCAGGCCAACATCATCAGCATCACCTGGGAACTTTCTAGAAATGCACATTAGCAGGTCCCTCCCCAGACCTCACCAGGCAGCCCTCCTCTCAGGTCCTGTGATTCATGTACTCCCCAAAGTCTCTTTTGTTTCCACCTTCCTCCACTCCCGTCATTGCTCATTTGAAGTTCTCAGGAAACTAAAAGCAAAAGCATCTTCACAAAATGTTTCAAATGTGTGTCAGAAGTTGCCAGATTATTTAAATTTCAACAACATATCTCGACTTAATAGCTTTTGATGCTTTAGGTTTCCGGGGTTAGCATTCAGTGGCAGATGTGATGCTCCAAAATAAAGTACCTTGTAGATAATTAGGTATTAAATTGATTTTTCCTTAATTTAAAGTCATCTATTCATCTGACCTATGACATATTACTGTGAACTGATTGAACCTTTTTTCTCTCATTAATCCCTTCTCAGCTCCAACTTTACCTGACTATGAAGGAGTTGATGCCTCTCTCAATGAAACTGCCACCACAATAACTGTATTGTTGAGACCAGCACAAGCCAAAGGTGCTCCTATCAGGTAAGAGGGAAAAACTACAGTAGTCCCTCCCCCCTTATCCATGAGGGAAATGTCCAAAGATCCCCAGTGGATGCCTGAAACTGCATGTAATACCAAACCCTATATATACTGCACTGGGTTTTTTCCTATACATGCACACCTATGATAAAGTTTAATTTATAAATTAGGCACAGTAAGAG